GTCTCCGGTGAATCCTCTCACCCTCCGCATCTCTGGCCTGTACCCCAGTTCTGTATGAATAAATAAATAAATCTTTAAAAAAAAAAAAGTTAAAATGTATGGAAAGTATGAGGTTTGCTTCACTGTACATACTTTTCATTTGGTAAAGCACCTTGCACAATAAAATATGTGTGCAGGATGAAAAGTAGAAACACCCAGACCCACCTGCAGATAAATGAGAAAACTCATAACTCCTAATGTAACTACAAAGAAAAATACCTTTTTCTAAACTCATAGTAAAATGGTTCCCTCACTCAAATTCTCCTGGTCTCGAGTGTCCTTAAAACAATAGGATGGATGCGGGAGTAGAAAAGAAACATGTTGGATATAGGAAGACTGAAAGCAGTAAGAAATCTTCACCAAGTACTTTTGTGAAAGTACTGCTATGCGCTGTATTTACTCTATAGGAAAAGGAAGAAATACCTCACCTTTGGGCTGTTGGTGTTATTTTGAAATAACTTCAAACTTACAGCAAAGCTGTGAAACTAGTAGAGGGTTCCCACATTCTTATTGTAATTTCCCTTTACATTAACACCTTACATAACCACAGTGCAACTATCAAAATTAAGAAATTAACATGAGCACAGTACTATTAACTAAATTACAAATTTTTAAAAATTGTTAGGTTTTCCACTAATGTCTTTTAAAGAAATTTTAAAGGTTTCATCATTCCATTAGTAGGCTAAAGATAACTTAAATCACAAAGAGGTACATTTTTTACATGATCTGGTACTGTAGTTAATATTTAAGTATGGCTCTTGTCTTTACTATTATCTGTATGAATTTTAACATTATAAAATCCCTTATATTCATTCCTCAGTTTCATCATCTATAAAGCAGAGCTAATAATTTCTAACTCAGGGTTATATATAAGACTGAATGGACAATGCATGAAATCACTTAGCACAGTGTACACCTAGTACGCACTCTAGAAGATGCAATTAAAGTTTATAGATAAAAAGACAAATGCTAGGTCTTATTGCCTATCAATAAACAGAAAAACTGTAATAACATCTAACCTGTGACTAAAAATTTTTGGTGATTATACCTGACACACATATAAAGACAAATGTCTTCTCTTGTCTGTTTCATTACAAATAGTCTTATTATCCACATCCCTGATCAGCAAAATATGCTATCATGCACATCTATTTTCCCCTTTATCACTTACATCTTTGACTACATACTTCTCAAGATTTTCAACTGTCTTTTCCTTCAGGGAGCCCTAGAAGAAAATTAAAAAGGGACACAGGAAAAGAACAAAATCAGTTTTTAATAGTTTATAAGAAAAATTTTGTCTACTATCAATCCAAATGTATTTATTTACCAAAATAGTAAATAAAGTAGTCAGAATAAAGTAGCAGATATGAATTGTTGCAACTCAACTCCAAAATGTGTCCAACATATAAAAAACTTTTTATCTATAAATCAAAAAGGTATTCCATATTTTATTCAGTACATTTTACATTAAATGTAAAATATTGTTATTGGTAAGTGGTATAGGTATTTGGAAAAAAACAAATGGAATAATGATCCTCAAAGGATCATTATGTTAAGTATAATCAATACTGACAGTAATTTTGGAAATGCAAACTGAAATAAGATCTAAAAGCCAAGCACAACCACTGAGATCAGCATTACCTCTGAGAGCAGGTCAAAACAAGAACAAAAGTATTCTATAGTGCTATCTGTAGGAGGCAATTTTTTTTTTTTTTAACAAAGGAAGCTAATGTCAGACCATAAAACACATGCCAGAGAATAAACAAGTAAAGCAGCAGCCTTTATTAGGTACCTTGTAATGAACCCAGTCAACAGCATCTCTTACATCCTGGAACATACTTCGGTAAGACATGAAGAGGTCCCCATCTTTAAATCCTGTTTCACAGCTACAGAAAGATGAAAAGAACATGACAGGGAATTCAAATGAGAGTAAATAAAATGAGCATCAAAAATTGCCCAGGGGACCCAAAGGTTCCATTAGCACATGAATAAAGGCTGTAGCTAATTAGGAAATAAGTATTCCCTGATGAAAATCCATTCTGACCACAAGAAATGACTACAGTGTTCAATTGTATACAGTAATTGTGAACAAAATGATAGCAAAAATACAGAATGGAAGCTAAAAGGCCAGTTCCAATATCAGGTTCTTTTATTCGTTTAAGAAACAGGTTCCCATCAAAGAAATCTATTAAGCTTAAAATTGGTAATTTAGGTTCTCTCCACCCTGACTGTTTTCTCCAGTACAAAGTTACTGCCTATTTTGTATTCAGCTTAATGACTCAGTGCCTCATCAAATTTAGTGCTTTGAAGTACATAGGTCCTAAAGAGGATACGACATTAGAAAACTCTGGCATATATGGTTGAACTTGCAGAATTGGTTATACAAGTCCTAAAAAATAGAGTATAACTTTTTCAAGACTTAAGCAAAGTTTTATTTCAGGGAGGATAAACAATATTTTTCAATTAAATCTTCTTGGGCCTGGGAATGAAACTAAATTACCATCCCTGAATGGCTCCTGGGTAGCTGCTGTGAAATGAGTTGGGGGGTTTTAGTGTAATTCTGCTTGGACAGATAATCATCACACAAACCTCCCACTCAGTTGTCACAATTAGCACCTCTGCTGGCCGTCTTCATTCCCAGTAGAAGCCAATCAGAAGTGGTCCCTTCCAAACATGGCTGCAGGACACTGGCAAGGAGAGGGGCCGTGTGGGAGCTGAGAGCCTGCATGGAGCTGCTGGTGCTGTCCCATCTCTCAGGCTGGCAATGTGGCATCTCTCACTAGCACTAAATTCACTTCAGAAAAGCAGAAAAGACCTACAATGGCCAGTTCTCTAAAACCCTGTACATTAATTTTAAAAATCAATTGATAAAAACATTATAGTATATATACATACCTGGTATATCTGGGACAATTAGTAAAAAAATCTACTAGGCAGGCCAACAGGTAGGTCTCTGAAAAATGAAAAATAGGTATTCATAAGTGAGATAACTAAAATTTATTTCACTATCTCCCTTGAGTAAAGACAAGTGATCATGGAAAGAAGGGGAAGCAGGTGTTTGTATATATAAACATAGAATGAGTCTACCTGGTAGGTTGAAAAGTGTGTTCAGAATGTAAAATCTTTCAGTGTCATCTCGTTGGATAAATTTATTTGGATACTGCTCTCTAGTTTCCGGTCTGAAAGAAAATATTTTTAGCATTATAATAATTGTAAAAAATACTCATCATTTAAAAAAAAATCCATTCAGGTATTCTGGCATTCGTGCAAGGCAGGGCTCCAAATATCACACATGGGTAGCTATGAAGGTGAGCAAGTTCAGTTTCCAACTCGTAAAAGTTCTCAGTAAGGTAAGGGACATGAGCCACATTCACAGACCATTATAACAAGGGGAGGTGGGGGAAAGCATAAATAGAAGAGCTATGACAAAACTGAGGAATGGGAGAACATTTCAACTTAAGAATGGAGAAAAGTAAATGTGGGAGTGAGGAGAGGAAAATCTAGGAAGAATTCATGTAAGTGGTGGCATATGAACTGCTCCTTAAAGGCTTAGACCATCAAGAGTGCAGCAGAGGGATAAAAGCATCAGAGTTGAACTATAAAATTAGTAAATGAGTTACAGTTTTAGTAACAGGATAAAATGGAGAAAGATATGATTATATTGCAAAAATGGCTACAAATTTTTCCTCTCCCTTTTGTAATGTCACTCTGCAGTTTCTCCAATTAAGAATCTCAGTCTATTTCTCCATCCTTGAGTAAGGTCTGAACAGCAATAAATGGGATCTAATGAGAGGCTTGGAAAATACTTGGTGTCCCAAGGCTTGTCTACTCTTGCTGCACTTGTGAATGAGAATACATGTGAATGACAGTGATATAACCTGCTACTGGATAAAAGGCCACATGCAGAAATAAGGTGTCCCAGCCAACAGGTTGTCAACTGCCAGACATGAGAGCAAGGCCATTCTAATCAGCTAAGCAACCTCACAATTGCCCAGCTAACAGAATTTTGGCCTAATTAAAATGGTCATTGTCTAAAGCTAAATGCCACTGAGACAGGACTGGGAAATCAGGTGCCTGTTGTAGTAATTCAGATGAGAGCATTAGGGACCTCTCCTAAGGCAGTGGCAATGGAAAATTAATGGGAAGAATGTATTCAAGAGATTGCCTAGGTAAATGAACAGAACAACTGACTGGATGTGGCAGATGGAATATATCAAAGTCAAAAGTGATGATACTCACACTAAGGTACTTCTGAAAGGGTGGTGGTACCATTAACAGAAATATGAAAATTGTTTAAGTATATGTAAGAAGAATTTTCCTTTGGATATAGTAAGCTCAAAAGAAGCAGATTTCTATAGGCAATTAGAAACAAAGGTCAAGAACTTAAAAACAGATTCAGACTTGACTGATAACTTGGATCATCTACACACAGGTAAAAGATGAAGTTATAAAGACTAGAGCAGGTGAAAGCAGAGAAGGAAGGCTGAGACTAGCATCATCAAGAACATTAGTGTTTAGGGCCCTCCCTGGTGGCACAGCGGGTTAAAGCGCAGTACTAAGAAGCTAAAGCCACTTCAGCATGAGTTCGATCCCTGCCACGGAGGTGATCCACATGGCACAGCAGACCTCTCCTGACCCACCCGCTGCTCCCCTCAGCAGTGTGCTTCGTTGATCTGCCTGTTCTGCTCCCCACTCTTATCTCTGGTGAATCCTCTCACCTCCCCTGCACTTCTGGCCTGTATCCCAGCTCTGTATGCATAAATAAATCTTAAAAAAAAAAATTTAGTACTTAAAAGAACATAGTGAAATGGACATAAGTTGTTAAGAGATGCATAAAAACCTTGCAGAGTGAAATGAAACACTTCAAGAAGGGAACATATCAATAAAAGTGTTGCAGAGAAACCAAAAGGGAGATAAACTAAAATATAAAAATGCCATCACTCAAGCACACATATAGAGATTAACTGAGCTAATTAAAGAACACCAAATTTAAAGTTCACATTTGAAATATTGATAATTTGAGTAAATTCTTGCTTAAGATTGTTACTGCAAATGGCATATAAACTCTGAGGAATATAAAGTCACATTAGCTCCCTTCCTTAGTCATCCTTCTGAAATAAGAGTTCTTGATAAAGAAAACCTGTAAAACAGTTGATTTTCTAGTTTTGTAAGATTTTTCTATACTGAAAATTAAGATGTAAAGGAATAGTAATGACAGTTTTTCTCAGGTTTAAGATGGCATTATGTCCTTAGATTACACTGAAAATCTGCTTTGCTATTCTCTTCATCATTAAAGAGCAATTCCTTTACATAAGGATACTTAACATTAGATAACTAGAACCCAAACTAATTTATAAATACAGAAATCAAGTTTATATTATTTAAATTGTCAGATTACACTAGCGTATATTAAATAAAAATTCAGGGGGAGGTAATGTAAAAGAATGCTAGACTTGAAGATGGAATGAATATTGTTAAGACAGTGCAGATTATGCTAACTTTTTGTGATTTAGAGAGTAGACATCTGCTGTCAGTATTTCCTATTCTAAACTTAAAAGTCGTTGCCTTTGTCCAATAAATAAGTCTCACTTCATTGGTAAGGCATATAAGGTGATACCTGATAAAGCTTTAACTTCCCTCCAAGATTTTTCCATAACTGAACTTCAGCAACTATCTTTTTCCCTTTCTCTCCATAATCAATCTCTTTCTCGATGGCCTTTTACTTTGACTCAAAGGCTTTATTTACTAAGTGCTGTTTGAATAATTCTGCATTTACTCATACATAAATCCTTTTCTGATGCTCACTGCTCTCAAAACACAAAAACCTTTTCAGATATTAGTAAAATAGAATCTTGGTCCACTTTTATTGGGATTCTAAATTATAGTAACAATATTCATATATGAAATAGGTTAAAATACTAGTAATATCTGCAGTCACTTCATGATCTAAATCCTGCCTTCTGATAGTCACAAATCTTAACAAGCACCTCACTAGAGAACAATGAAAGAATGGTACATATATAACCAACCATTGGCCTGACAGATGTGCTAAGATGGGGGGTGTTTACACTATTCTCACTGTATTATTGGGCATCTTGAAGCCTTGTGTAATACCAACAAAAGAGTTTGTATTGGATGCTTTAATTCCAAATACGGCACTGCTATGATCTAACACTTAAAAGGAATTATTGGTATCCATTTGTGCCTCTTATCACAAAATGAAATCCATTAAAAAAAAAAGATGTTGCTATAATAATTGCAGTGTAAACCATTAGTTTTTACTACTTTGCCACTGAAAATACTGCATCAAAAAGTTACACAAGAGACTAACATACATTTTGGTTTTAGGAGTTACTCCAACCATAATACAGTATCAGTAGTAAACCAACGAGTAAAAAGTAACGAAAATTCTAACTATAAAGCCACAAGTATAGAAACTGCCAGGTTGTGGTATCATGAATTTTAAGGATAAAACTGGTATAACAATCACAACTTTATTTGCTGTTTTAGTAGGATGGAAAGTTCAAACTAATAACAATAGTGGAATATTCAGATTATGAAAATAAAGTTTATCCTTATTTGTTTTAAATGTTAGCACCTTCATTTGCAATACCATGTTTTCAAAAATTTTAACTACATGATCAAATATCGGAAGCTATTCATTAGAATATAAAAATATACTATTTGTTAAACTTTTTAGTATTTACAGTGCCATAATTTAAAATTTTTCAAATCACTTTTGTGTACATACCTCTTCTGAGCAGCTACCTGAGAACTGTATTAAAAAGGAGAAAATAAAAATCTTAGAATTTCAAATAAATCAAAAGCTACTACAGTTTTTTGGGGAGAGGGGGGTGGAAACAGGACAAGTTTCAAGATTAGCTTTTTGAATGATACATAATTAGAAGGCACTTTAAGAAAAATGTAACTGCTAACTATATAGGTCAGTTTGTGTTTCAAACACCAAATTATTGTTAAGTATCCTTAAATAAAGGAAATAACCTTTAGTGATGAAGAAAGAGTAAAGGATATTAGATCTGGGGAGACAATGTTATCTTTATATGTTTTGACTATACAAACCCCCAGAAAGAGGCTAAAGTTTCTTTGTACTCACCCCCTTATGAAGTTAAATCCATGAGCACAGACCAAGAGGTTTCCATAGGCATCAACTTTCAAAAGATTGCCATATAGTGTATCAAAGACAAGTCCCCTATGTAAAAATCAAAACATTATCAATAATGCAAAGTGACAGAGGCAACATACAGGCATACTTAATTTTATCGATTTTATCGATTACAGTATCGAGATACTACATTTTTCATAAATTGAAGGTTTATGGTTACCCTCTGTATTTGCACTATTTTCCCAAGAGATGTGCTTATTTCATATGTCACATTTAATTCAGATATAAATATGGATTTTTACATATAATGCTATTATTGACTATAATAGAAAGAGTATACGTTTAATATGCACTGCAAAACCAAAAAATCCATGTGACTCAGTTCACTGTAATATTTGCTTTAATGAACTGGTCTGGAACCAAATTCATAACATGTGCAAGTTTCACTATAATCTTATATAGTATACCTCAGTCACCAAATCCAAACTCATTCAAGAATGATGGCAACTGCTGTATTTCCCAAAACAATACAAACTTAGAGGCTAAATGAGTGAATAATCTCAAAACAGCTAAAAAATATTTACTCTGTCCAGATAAATTATTACAACCATTTGCTGTAAGTGCATGTGCTTAATCAAAAAGGTATAAACTATAACTTCTTGCTGGTTCTATTCTAAAACAGGATCCTTCAGTTTCTTTGGCCAACAGAGCTGATTTATGTTTCCCCCATTACATGTTATATATGGAACATACATGATGGTAACTCAGACCTCTTTTCTGAATCTTACCAAATCCAGAAATCCCAACTACCAAGGTTTTGGATTATCATCTTAAGTACATTAGCAAAACATGTAACTGCTCTCCATTAACCAACGGTAAGAGAAGCATCCTTAATTACTGCTTGTTAGTTTTAATAATCACTTTTCTTTCCCATTAATGGGAAAACTAAGCTCAACTCAGGAATATAGAAAAACTTCATTTTTATGCTATTTAAGAATCAGCATCAAATACTCTTAGAATCAACATCAAGCAAAAACATCAGCTTTTTAAACTATGTTCACGAGTAAATTTGGAATTACTAGTTTTGGAGATAGAGGGGTAAAGGGGTAAATCTTAATCTAAAGAAACCTTGAGCAATTACCTGGTAGGGAATGTAGAGTCATAAGCAAAGCTCAGCAGCTCCTGGGGATACCCAATAGAAACTAATCTCTCCACAGTAAGTTCAAAGCCAAGGGATTCATACTCTGGGGACTTGTACACTGCACAAAAAGGAAGTTGTCATTAAAAGAACAACCAATTAAAACAGAAGACAAATGAGTGCATTTCTGCTCTTCTCAACCCCTTTCTCCTCCTAAATCTAAAATTTTTCTTCTTTTCCCTCAAACTCCATGTTATTACTGACCTGAGCAATCACAGAACTAAATTGTTTGTCTGTGAATATAGGTGGTATTGTATACCAGGAGCAGCTGGACAAGATGAATCATCAGACATTTCAAAATAGGTCCTTCATTTTCTGAAAGCCTAATGCAAGTATATCCCCCGCCCCTTTACATTTTCATTATGACAATCTAAAACTAATATGCAACTGTAATACTGAAAAGTGGTAGAGAGGTCAATATATGTTGAAATCTTCAATGATGTGTGCAGGTAGTGTAGGAATACTTCAAAATGAGCTGTTTAAGAAAACTAGCCTATTTTTGGAATCTTTATTTAGCTTGGTAATTCTTTTACATTCATTCTCCAACAAGAATAATTCCACTTGCCAGGACTAAAGTGTTTTCTTTTTAGTCCTAATAATATTATATCCATCATAATTGTAGTTTACAAGTTATTACTGCAAAATCAACCATAAAAAGACATACCTGACACAATTACAGAAATCTGTATGTGAACTGGGAATCAGACATTAAAGAATTATGACTTGTTTTATTAGGTGTGATTACAGAAGGATGGATATGTATGTGTATAAAAAAAAATCTCCTTAACCGCTAAAGTAGCATACTGAGTTGTTGCAGGTGAAATAAAATGGGTTTTAGGATGAGATGTCTTCTCTACTACTGTTTATATATGAAACTTTCTATAATTAAAAAACCTCTTGAAATTATCGCACTTCACCATTAAGAAAATGTTGTTCCATCAAATAGATTTCTTTCAAACTAAAATTTATGTAAGCATCCATCCATCAGGGTCCAGGTGTAAGTAAGCCATATTAAAAATAAAAAGACCTACAATCTTGCTAAGTGCCATGTGAGGCAAAAAAAAAAAAAAAAAAAAATCTGTTCTATTATTACAGCCTCATAATAATACAAGCCTATTTACAATTACTATTCTATTCACAATACTTCTACCTACAATTAACAGATAGCTGTTGGCTCAAGCTGATGTTTCTTTGCAATTAGACTACCTATCCAAGTTAGGGCTAATAGGTTAATGAGTATAATTCAACTTTCCCTTTTCAAAAGCGATTTTTTTAGAATATTTCTGGAAATATATAAAATAAACCATTAATACTGGTTGTTACCAACAGAAGGAAACTGAGTAGCTAAGAGAGAGGGAAGGAGACTTTTATGTACTTCCTTCTGCATCCTTATGTACCTATAACATTACTGTATTCAACTATTCTTTTAACTGAACTCAACTTTAAAAAGTTGAGTTTTCAAAATTGTTCAATAACATTTGTCAGATTTAAAAAACAAGATTAAAACATTAGGGTCCTTTAGGAAATGTTGAGTATCATATCAGAATGATGCCAAAAGCTGTCATTTCTTTAGTTGCTGTAGGGGTATTAACAATTTAATGCTAATTCTAACACTGGCTAATAAATTTCAAAATTGGCTGTATTTTTTTCCTTCTCTCAATTTTACTCCATCTTCACCCACTCTCCCTCACAGCACTTCTTGAAGCCTTGTGAAATTTTTAAATATTAAAAATATACACTATGGCAAAGGAAATGCTCTACATTTATAAAACACTAAGAGCTGGTATGTTATAGAACCAGGAAAGCATGGTATCTACTAATGGTATCTTATATGCACAAAAGAATTCAAATTGACATCTCTCACTCCACCTCATGCTTCTATTCCAATAAAATGTAAATCTCAATTTAACATTTCCATAAAACAAAAATTGCTTTTCAATCCTAACAAAGTCCCACTTCAAAGCAATATTTAATAAAACAAAAAATTAAGTAATTTAGATAAATTCATTAACATTTATCCTTATAGAAACTGTCCCATATGAAATGTTTTTAATTATTAATTTTTCAGAATAATGTGCTGTTTTAAGAATAGGAGACAAAGACCAAACCTTCCCCCTATCTAGACTCACCTCTGTATCAGCAATTTTCCCTACTTAGTAAATAAGTAATAATAAAGGGGTAATTGGTGATTAAAAACCTATGTCCATGAGACAATTTGGATTAAAACACAATTCAATGTATTCAAAATGATTACTGAAAAAGATATATGGGGGAGATTGCAAATTGCTGTTTTAACAACACAAACTTAGATAACAGAAAATTAAACACCATTAACACTTGCCACACTCTGGTTACTCCACAGCAGAATGTGCTAAGTATTCAACTAAGGTGACTTTCTAGAAACTTCACCCACAGAAATAAATATTTAAATTTCCTTTCTCTTGATCAGTTTAGGTTACTTGCACAAAACCTGATGTATTTCCCCCATTTGCTGACTTGAAGTAGCAAATATACATATCAGCTGAAGCCAGAATTGCTATCTCTCCATGAGTCTCATCCAAAGTTCTCTGTGGCAAGGTTTACTACCACTGTTAAAAAATGTCTAGATTACATAGGCCATCAAACTTAAGCTTAGTATTAAAATACATTTCTCTCCTTCCAATTTCTTTCATCTAGTATAAAATAAACAGCTCTAATCAGAGGTGGGAACAGATTTAGCAAAGAGAGTCCAAGTTCTACTTTGACAACACTATTTCATTAAACCTACATTAATCAACAAGAGCTACAAGCTATTGACGTTTTCTCATAAGCTGCTCGGATAATCATCTCACACACTCCTAGGTCATTAAATCATCTGCTAGAGAACTACAGCTTACAACCAGCATCAGAAGAGCAGAACTGCAGCTACAGAGAACACAAGTTTAGACACTTTAATTCTAAGTGTCCCTTGGGAATAATCACAATTTTTTTCTGACCCGGTGGCAGAAGTGACCATTACCTAATGCCTACAAAGTATCACCATTCCTTTAAACACACACACACACACACACACACAGAGCAAAATTCCTTTTTTAATCAACCAAGTCCTTCCAAGTCAGCTTTGGCATTTGTGGGAAAACATATACCCCACCTTAGACTGTAGAGCTCCACAGAGGCAATGGCTGTTATTTCATTTCACAAAACTGGCAAGTAAATGATGCATAGCTTCAAGCTCAACTTGTACTGACTTTCCAAAACACTGCCAACAGCTTCGGAATAAACCACACACATTTACTGCTCATTTCTTCTTTGAGAAAGTCCTCAGGTCTATCCTAATTTACCCAATATTCAAAGACAAAAGAAGTTATTTTAAGGGCCAGAATCCAAAAGAGAGGACAGCTCAGCCACTAGGGCAGCACACAGTGTTCTCAGGTTACGTAAGTAGACTATAAAGAGAACAAGCAAAGCTTTGAAAGCTGAAGCTACAGAGAGCATTTAACGATATTCTTTATTCCATTATCTGAAGGGAGGGAGCAAATATATCTTTAAAAAATATCAACTGCCTGTGTGAGGGTAAAGGCTGTGGGCACCACTCTGAGTAGATTCATGTGAGACAACCTACTAGAGGCAACAGTCCTTTGGAATAAGTAGAAAACTTTCTGCAGGAAAATGTGGAAGTCTCATGCACTTTTTACCTTTGCCACCAAGACACTGTGTAGTAGTTTAGAGTTTAGAAAATGAAAGGGCAAACCTCTACTGAGGTTCCAGCCTAGCAGAATGCTGCTGCCAAAATGAGAACTCACATGAGGCAGACGCAGATGCAGTGTGTATCACTCCAGTCTTGAAGGAGTTACACTGGCTCTCCTGTTAAAAAACAAAACAAAGCAACAAAACAAAACAAAAACAAAACCGGTTTTAAAACTGTTGTGATGGGCTAGAATAGAGACACCATTTGGAAATAGGTATTTACAGAAGTTACTGTCCTATTTAGAAGCCTCTGCTCATCACTAAAATACAACTAATTGGCAATAACAAAATGATGATACTGAAGATAAGCCCAAGTATTGTGCATATTTGTATTTCTGACATCCTAAGCCTGAATATAAGTCAAGTCTGATCCTGAAATGTTAAGTCAAAAAGCAAAGTGAAATATATAAAATCTGTCTTAGTTTATTTTCTCTAACAAATTTGAGGTTTATATGAAACTAAATGAAGATGCAGCACAGTATTTAAAGTTGGACTGCAGTACATGAAGCAAACTAGAGAATAAACCAGCACAGTCTCATAGTGCTTTTAAATAACCATTTAAACTAAATGTCTGTACCTAATTTTCTGTCCTTGCAACACCTAATTTTGTCATCTTGATATAGACAAGAACCGACTGCATGCTGCCGAAAATCTACGCAAATGCCAAAATAGAAGAAAAAATTTTATGTTGATTCTGTCATTGGTATTTGCCCTTGGTAAGCAGAGTCAGATTATTCTCTCATAAAGTTAAAATACCTAGTTTAGTAAAATAACTGATTTGGAGGTAAATACATCTCTTAAAGATATTGGCACATTTAAGATCGGTATTATCATTATTTTAAGCTTTTTAGAGATTCACTTTCCCTAGAGACACAAGATTTTTTTTTAGTATGCCTAGACTCATCTAAACTTTTATCTTTTTTGTGGAAGGTAGATGGTACTAGTCAGCAGAAATGATCAAACATAATGTTTAAAGTCCTAAAAGCAGTACACCAAGGAAAAATCACCACCAAAACTGAAAAACAAAACTCCAATCTAACTACACATGAATAGCTCTTATATCTGTGCTGTAAGCATGACTATCATCAACATTCTGTAATTAGTAGGCACGTGATGCTGGTTCTCAGACACTATTAACTAGGAAAGATAATTTTGATTAAGGAAAACTTCCAGTTCTCATCAAACAGCTACTAAAGGACTATTTCCACTCTTCAAAACTATCTGAAAACCCTAATACAATAATACAGACATGGCCAATAATTTTATTTCTACTCTAAGAGACCTTAAAAAACTGGAAACTTCTAAAAAAGATCTCATTTACTTAAAATACAAAAG